AAACAATGCGGCTATCAAATTGTAAAGTAATATGCACAGTAAAATCGACCACTTCCATTGCTTTCGTCCTATCTTGTATTATTCTTCATGATCATTAATTCATCAACAAAACCAAATGCAGACACACGAAAGAGACTTGAAATCTAAAAATGGAACCAGAAACACCAAAAGATAGAGAATATTGCTTCAAGAGTATTTCACTGACCATTGTTGCCATCATGAAAATAGATGATCTGATGCCATTGTTTCAGTCGAATGTAATCAACAAGAATCTCGTCGGCCATCGGCCTAACTGAAATCGAAAACAGTGACTGTTGCTGTTGTTGTTGGTGCTCATCTTCATAAACGTTTGAGGTTTCCCAATCAATCAACGGCACCTAAAATTGAAATTTTTCGAGCAAATACTCTTTGTAAGTTTAGGTTTTGTGTGATTTGGACATCTTTCGGAATGTAAATCAACATGTCAATGGATAGAAGAAGGCATTTCGAAATGGAAATTGAATTGCTATATTGCATAGATACACTTTAGTCCACTGAAGAAAATTACTTTTGCATTGAGTTTTTTTAAATAAAATAAAGAGACACATAACAGTCCAGCTAACTATAAGACAAAATTGGACGATTGAGGATGAGAACTTAACGTCTCACTCGTCTGGAAAATCCGTATCTAGTTTCCACCAAACGCAATAAGTTAGGTATTGCCGAGTTTCAGACATTTTTTTGATGTGATTGTGATGCTTTCCAACATTTTCTGTCATTAGTTAAATGAATTACATTCAATTCACTCGCTGTTCGTAACTACCTATCATCTAAACCATTCACTGGGGGCTCTAGACATACAGATANCGTTTTGCAATTGAACTATATACGCTGAATGAACTCGGCGTTGTTCCGGCCAGCATTACCATAAATCCCAATTTCAGTTCTTCGCAAACTGTAAGAAAGCCTTTGCTCAGCATACTTTTTCCAATGTAACATTCCATGTATTAAGTGGTATGGTTTCATTAGGAAGGTTTCATTATGAAGCTTCATTTGGAAGCTGAAAATATCCTTTAAATGAGCAATGCACTAAAACTTCGATCAAAAGCAATGCAAGACGTTTAAAATGTCTTTAAAATGTCCATTGATCTCAGCTCGCGTAAGCTGTTGATGTTGTTGATAATCCTCAGAAACAGAATCAATGATTTGGCTCACTAAAATCTGGCAGATGCCAGAAAAGAGTTGAGCTCTGCATTGGTGGTAGATAGCGTACACCAAGCACCACATCGAAAGTGTTCTGTCCACGAGTATTCAACCAGAATTCGGCCATACGCATCATTTCCAATACAGAATTGGCCGTGCTATTGTCCAACTCACTTGTGTCCACGAATGCCCCTTAACAACTCATTCTCTCGACGACTGTTCTCATAAGCGTAATCTCTTAATGCCAAAACTCAAGAATGCTTGTCATAAAATCACTTTTCATCTTAAGATATATCAAGTGATGAACTCATATCACACAAAGCACTTGTGGAATCATAAACAATATATTTGTTGGATGTTGCGATAAATGGATCGCAACTGAAGTACTTCTCAAAGTGAACTCGTTTATAATGGTATTTGTACCCTATAGAGACTCAAAAGAAGCCATAACAGAATCAAATAAATGCAAAACTTCATAGGTAATACCAATGACTTACTGAATGGAACTTTACTTGGGTATGCCATTAATGGAACGGCGAAT